AATATTTGATGGAATTGTGTAAATTTATTGGAATCTAAAATAATATTTTAAAAATTAAATATTTTAATGAATTGAATTAAATTAATTGAATGCAATATTTAAAAAAATTTTTATATTTTGTCTAAATATGTTATGTTACGTCCTGATCAGACTTCACGATTCTTTTCTTTTCATTAAATACCAGACCTAGTAAACACGGGACCAACAAAAAACTCTTAAAGAATATTATAACGCCAGAGCTGTTTTTCTCACGAGACACCAAGAGCTCGAACTTTCTCACAGAGGAAAATAGCAAGGGGGATAGATATTTGAAAATACCTTGGTCGGTCAGCGTGCCTATCGTCGTCAGAAAAATCATAAAAGTCAAAACTTGCGGTAACCGGAATCTTTAGTCGACTTCAGATGTTTAAAGTAAGAAATAAAAACTGGCACCAGCTAGCCATATACTTGGATTCCGCCTACGGGAATCCTAGCTAGTAGATAGGGTTTTACCGAGTGACGATCGGGCAATGACCATAGTCGCACGCCTAGGAGGCATGACACCTGATACGGTGCACGTGTTCAGTAGGTCTGGGAAACCGAGATGCATTAATCGCACTCTCCACGCGACCCCAGGGCCACGCGACAGTCGTAAACTGTCAAATTTATTAGATCAGTGACCCAAGGCCTCGCGAACTCATATACCGATTCTCAACCCTCCAATCCGAAAGCCGGGAATCGGGGCAAGCACTTCTATAGACCACCCTTCATTCCGTCGTACGCACAGTGGGCTAGGGTATCGAAAAAAGTGGCCATAATTTGAAACTTAATTAGATTGTTGCCAAAAATTATATTCAGTAATTTTTTGGCTCGATGATCACGAATATGAAGTCAGATATACAAAATTTAAAATGGCGAATTCAATATGGCGGACCAAATTACAAAAATAGTCGTATTTTAATATTAACTCGTTTTTATGAGTTTTTGGGGTTGCAGAACACAAATTTAAGGTTCAAAATTACAAAATCGAAAATGGTGTATTAAACATTATTAACCAAGGTGCAAAAAATAATTGTATTTTAAATTGCTTTCTATTTATTTGTTTCTGCCGATCGGGTTTCAATATAGCACATCTAAAATTCAATAATTTATCCGAATTGCATACCAATTCATTTATAGTCCTTCTTCATACTAATTATAATGATTTTAAGATAAAAAATTATACATTTCTTGATAGATACAATATGCTTTATTTTATTGAATTCAAATGAAAAGACATATCGTTACGCCTGTGATTAGTCTACAAAATTGTAGTTACCAGAGTTTACCACGTGGAGGTAACAGTGCGATTTAAAACTCCTTTGGGGTGCTTTTTGGAATGAGTCCCCTTGCCTCTCATTTTTTGGGGTGCTTGATTATAGTGAGTCCCCTTGCCTCTCACTTTTTGGGGTGCTTGATTATAGTGAGTCCCCTTGCCTCTCACTCTTTGAGGTGCTTGATTATAGTGAGGCCCTTTACCTCTCACTTTTGTTAGGATATTTGATTATCAAGAGTTCCCTTGCCTCTCATTAATTATTCTTCGTCAGATAATTCTGTTTCATTCAAAAAATATACAACTTCAGAAAATCCGTTATCTTCACTTTCATTATTATTATCTGTAGAAGCACTAATATTTGGTTCTTTTTGAGGAATTTCAAAGAGTTCAACTACATTAGGCGGAAATGGCAGATGATTTTGTTTTTTAATCCGTTTGTCAAGATGGATACTTGAAATAACTACATCAGAGGAGTCCATCGCTCTAAGAAAAA